CCGGCATTAACACGGTGTAGCCTTCTTTGGTGATGTCGCCGACGGCGTCACGAAATCCACGATCTACGACAAATACATCATTCCGACGTAATAGAGTTTTAAGTTTAGCATCCTGTAACACTTTCTTCATAATAGTGGCATCATTTTCCGTTCCATAAAATGGCCCAGCAAAATCAACTATAAACCCGTTCGTAGTACAGATTGTGAACGGTTTGCATAAATGGGTTTTCTTTTGCCCAGAATACGATTTTCTCTGGTATTCATTGTTAAAACTTTTTTGATGCCTGATATAAGTGCCGTCAAATATCAATACCAGCTGATCATCTCTAAGGTTCAATAACATTCGAGCTGTTAAACTTGTGTTCTTTATTAAATCTTCTCGAGAAACGGAGGTTAATCCAAAATGAAGCAAAATATCAGTCTTAAAACTTCTTAATACTTCCTTAAAAAATGTCGACACATGTTGTTCGTATGGTAAACCCAGCACTCCTGCTATCACTGAATTAGAATTTCCAGTTTTTAATTTAAACAAGAATACAACTAACGCTTGAGTCACAGTGCGTATGCTTGTGTTTCGCATAGAAGTCAATAGCTGTCTTAATTCAATAATGTTTTGCCAACAAAGCCCTGTCAATATCCTTATCTGATTTTCAGACATATCATTTTCAATTTTGTCGAAAAGCGACATCCCTGCTCTTTCTGAAAGTGATTTTAAAAAATGAGCAACTTCTTTAGATTTCATTTTACTGGTGTTAGATACTACACGTAGGTGCACCAACTCGTCTTTATAAAAGTTTTTTCCTATTATATGTGTGCAGCAACAACGGTTATCCTCTGGTATAAAAATCCCAATGTTTGTATAAGCCTCGTAACGCGCTTCAAAAGGTACTCGCATTAAGTTTGTTGTGGATCGACATATACAACAATACTTGTGGGTGGATACAACACGTGGTATATGTACATATATAAATTCGTCGTCTTGGGCAACATGCGAAAAAACAACATCGCCATCATCATCATCATCATCGTGGTCGCTTTCGGAACTGCATGGTAAATTCATTTCACATTCTTGTTGGAATGAAGCATTAGATGTTTCCCCAACTGCTAAGTGTTCACCAGACTCCTGTTCGCCTTCACACTCTACCAGGGTAGATGCCGCAGAAGTTGATGCAACGTTTGATTTGCTATTGTAAATAATTAGCCGACACTTTCCACACAATACGTCACCAACAGAAACTGTTTTTTTACTCGAGTCACTATATAGTCTAGCGTTCTCTTCACTAGTGATAACTTTTTTTCTTCCGCGAACTTTATGCACGAAAGTGTCACAAATAATACAGTTCACAAACATTGTTATCACCCGTGGTTATCACCATACAACTTGCGACAGGAATACGCAATTATTCTCACCGAATGACCTATTAGGTAATTTATATTTGTGTGTGGTTTCCTTAACACGGAAGACTAAAGCAACCATGCGTGAAATCGTATTTGTAATGACACGAATACACTTATAATAATCTATTGAACATGAATAAACACGTTTGTCTAGTCCGCGCGAAGCGGCTGGGCGGGCGCCCACTGTACACGATCGAACAAGTTTTCTTTAGATATTACTCAAGAAGCGCCTCTTTGATTTTGATCAGCTTTTGTATGGTATAAGTATATAAATCAAAGAGTATTATATATTTTTTTTGGCGCGGTAGACATAATAGAACAGTACTAAAAAAAATTATTTATATTTTGTTTAATTATTTTATACAGTTGTCATTTCACGAGAACTCTGAAAAAAATACAGAATATTTTTCAAAGTATCCCTCATTATACGCAATTGGTCCCATCCTTCTAGCTTTTATAGTTTTTCGAAAAAAAAATTATGAAAAAAATCGGCGCGCATACGAACTTTCTCGAATATCTCAAAGACAGGTCAAGGTCAGGGGTCAACGACCTTACATTTCGTATTGTTTTAGAGTGCCAATACCAGTACAAATGATAATTCCGTCATGGGCCGTGGGGGCCATTTCGTGCTCCTTACCTCGCTATACCCTTTACGTCAATTCTATATAATTTGGTTTTCTATTCTACATGTAGGCAAGCTCTAAATGACATTTGGCTACAGCTGCTTGCTAGTATAAATTTCATTTGTTTTATTTTGTTATGAATATGAATACTATGAAATATATAATTTAAAGTTGATTTTTAAAGGTTTGTACGGCACGAACATTAACTTTTCATCAGGTTTTAAAACGATTCCGTGTTAAACGTTTCATTCCGCTCACGCTACAAAAATCAGAAATTGAAAAATCCAATCACAACTTACTTGTTGTAACAATGCTGTTCGTTGCAACAACAATGTTTGAAACGAACAGCATTGTAACAGAAACAAAAAAGAAACACATTTTCCTTGAAATTCGAAAGTAAATATTTCTGTACGTAGTAACCGTAAAATATTGTTTTCCTTTCGACACGAAATAATATTGTGTATGAAATCTTAAAGCCGAAATATACTCGATAATACGACGGTGGGTTAACCCTTGCACATACATCAAGTGGACTAAGACCCCAGTCGAACATACACACAGTGGTATCTGCGCGCGATAGGGCCGAAATATACCGCTCTCACTGTTTCCTTTCATTTAGATACGCTCCGTTTCGGTCCTTTATCCCCTTTCCTCAATTTTGTCTTCATCTTTTTGCCCCACTTCCACGGCCGCATTACTTAATACAATGAAATTTTTGTCCTTAACTTGCTTGAATGAATGCTTTTTGGGGATTATTATTTTTTCTGTTGGTGATACCAGTTGAATTTCTCTCATCCTGACACTTCAACTCATTTTATTTTATGAATCAAGATAACTTTGGTTTAATTGTACATATTTTTGTTGTATGTTTTAAAGAAATGATACGCATAATATTCCTCATTGGTTTTATTACTATGTCTGTATTCTTATAAATCGTTAGGTAACATATTTAAATACATCTACAATTTGATAGTTTATTACACAACCCTTTTGTTAACTACTTTTAAAAGATGGCGACGTTCGAAACCGTTGCCAAAGTAATCTGAATACATAAAATGTATTTTTGGCTGTCAAGACATTACAAACATAAAATTAAATTCATAATTATTATTTACATCGTTAATATTTACAATCGATCAGCTATTATGTACAGGATACGAGCTAAATCTTATTCAAACATGATTTCATTTAATAAATCTTTAAAATACAAAGGTACCAATGTCTATAAATCATCTAGAGAAAATTAACATTTTATACAATTTAAACTTGCCTTTGACAAGCATTTTACTTAAGTTTTAAACAGATGTAAACATCTAAAAAGTAATAAAGATTTAATATTGACATAAGTAGTAGCAAAGTGTCTTCGAGTTTTTTACTTGAAAGGTCGTCAAATTGTTTTTGTTTGCTCCGGACATAAGTAAGGGTAGAAAGAGCGGGAATAAAAATAAAATGGACTGAGAGCAATGTTTAGTACCTATCTGCCAGATTCGCTACATGAAATGAACTTGAAACAAATGAAGCCTAAGGTACGTAATTTGTTTCTTGCTGTCACTCGAGAAAACTTTTCGGAACGATGCCTTTTATTCTGGCCAGTAAAGCAACCCTAATTCTAAACTTTGATTGTGTAATTTTATTCCGGAGTAAGACAGTGGAATGTGAAAAAGTCAGACGAATTTACAAAAAGGTATGCGCAGTTTAAAAGTCCAGGGAATTTGCGTTGGGATTTTTGTGAAGAGACCGTATCTCTATTGTAGTATAGTTGGAACACAAATTTTGTGGCGACAAACTTGGGAAGATTGTGAACACTCTGAGAGCTCATGTTAACGCTACTTGATGTCAAGAGACGTTGAAAGGCTCATTACAAAGCCACTCAAAGATTGACGACTTCTATAAATTCTTAGAACTTTCGTCGAACCCGAATTAAAATGGTTCTGTGGTGGCTGAGAAATCAACTCAATTTAGTCCCATTTTATGTTTGAGCGCACTGGAGATGAAATCGTTTGAAGATTGGGTCATTCTCTTGGAAAACATTTAGTCTTTAGGTACTGAGATTTCCTTTACAAATTGCAACAAGAAAATTCTAATATCTCGTCAACAACCAATTGTTTAGTAAAAGATGGCGTCGTAATTTAATTTATGAACGTTTAATCTATTCTTTAACTCAAAGACGACATCCAATTAAACTGGTTAGCGAAAAAATTAAACAAAAATGGTAATAAAATAAACAAGTCATTTGATTTTTTAGAAAGTTTGTTTAATTTAAATTTTATCATTCAACTTCATAATGGCATATAAGAGTCGAGACTTTTGGAAGATGAGATTACTGTTTTTATTCGTTTAAAGCTAGTGAAACTTGTAAATATGAAGATGGTTTGGTTATGTAGTAGTAACCAGCAATACTAATGTACGCTTGTATGCATTAGTACAGACGTTGTTTGTTCAACTTGATCGAACGCAAATAATGTGGCAAAGAGAGCAACCAGCGGCTTAGATATACGTTACGCATAGATAAGCTTCACTTCGATTGAATCTCGGTATATTCCTGTGTTGGACTAACGAAATCGATTTGCTTGTAATCTCGGCACCGGATTAAGACGACGAACGTAGTTAGCTGTGAGAACAAAGGAGATTCAGCCTCGGATAAATCATCAGAAGGATTATCTCATGCGTGCCGTATTAATCTCTCTGGTCGTTATTTATCGAAATTACTAAAACGATCCTGTCTGTTACAGATACAATAGAAATTTAGAGATTTATAAACAACAATATCATTTTTTAAATTGACCATTATGCTATTGATTTATCGCCTTAAAATTACCTCACAGGAAACATTACTGTCTATATTTATCGTTGTATTTTAAATACGTTCAACTCAGATAACGTAACCCGAGGGTCCGACACAATTTCGCTTGTTCACTCAATCATATAAAATACTTCCTTAGTTTAAAACGTTTGGGAAGTCGCGTTTGCACTAATAGGTCATCTTGAAGATGTAGGTTCGATGTGAGCTGTCGTAAATTTTGATAGGAATTTGACGAGAGCGTTGGCGAATAGTAAGGTAATGAGTAGTGTTGGGATGGAGACGTAGTGCGCGGCGACCGGGAGGGAGACGAGGAGCACTGGCCGTGGCTGGCGCAGCGTGGTGAGCGCGGTGAGCGTGGCGAGGATGGCGCGGTTGAGGCGTGGTGGGGTCGAGCCCGAGCTCTGCATCGCCGCCGGCCGCTCCCCGCTCAGCACGTGGACTATCACCGACGCAGATTCTGTATAACAAAGTTATGTCATAAATCATCTTATCTAATGTCACGTCCCTTTATCGATTGTTCGTGGGTACCCTCGATTGTTCATAAATGATACAAAGGGCGGTTGAATCTCATCCCTTAAAACGTTATAGCAGATGAATCTAATATTACTAAGTAATTGAGTAGTACTTTGAGAACCCTTTCAGAGTGTTAATCACCACTATCTACTTAAAAATGGGGTACAAGTTATAAGATATTTAAATGTTAAACTTTTAGTTCAGGATTATTGTAAAACATTTAAATAGCAGATTTATGAATAAAGATGAGAATGAAACGTGGAATATATGAGTGCATTTTGTAAAGCCCTGATAAATCAAATGTTTTAACGTACTAGTAGCCTACATTTTAAAGTAGTTTTACTAACTATACGACGGCGCTAGTAATGCATTAACCTAGAAACAAAATATGAACACTTCATTATGTTAATTGTGTGCTGCATTGTAATCACTAATAAATACAGTAATTTTCCGTAACTGACGGAATTGTTAGGAAAATATTTTTAGAATTTGCAAACAACATTAAACATTGACATTTCTTTCACTAGTGCCATTAAACGACGTCAATTAAAAAGTTGGCAGCAGTTTAAACAGTCGTGGGGTAATTCTGGAACATAGCAATAATGTTAAGCTACTGTGTAAGAATCCAGACTGGAATAATTACACAGCAGTTTGCAGCAAATCCTTGTAATGAATAATTTTAATACGAAGCACTGAATACGGCAATCTGTGAGTTGGTATTGTACCGGTACAGAGAGGGTTTCATTTCAGAGGGAAAGAGGGATTTAAAAATACATTCCACGGGAATGGTTCCACTTCCATATTTAAATATAACGTTTATGGTATTTTATATTTATGGTACTCATTTTTTTGAATACCCATGACGAATACATACATTTGTCTTTCTGAATCAGTAATAGACGAGAATGTATAATTTTCTCAATTTGTTTCGGCTAAAATATTCGCAAGCTTTTTCTAACATAACTAAACCGTATTGTGTGTTACAAATGAACTAAATAATAAACTAAACATACCAAATAGTTGATCCCTTCGATAATGAGGGTAAAATCGATAGTCGTAACAATGAAATATTGACCCGTTTTCCGACTTTAATCGGTTATAAAATTTATGCGTCTGCCCTATTTCTCAGTTCAAACGTTATGGTGTTTGGGCTCCTTATAATTAAAGAAATAATTAACATGTATTTGAGGCAATATACTACTGAAATACGAGTATGATTTGGGCTTTAACACAGTAAAAGGTAATGTTTTCCTTATGGCTGGAGGAAGAAATATATTTTACAGGCACACTTTCCGTCAGGTATCTTAGTAGTTACCAACTAGACGGCCCTTGGGCTAAAAACAGTACAAATTCTTGCATCATTATTACAACTTACGTAATTTACCTGGTAAATACTTTAGCTTACTGGTAAATGTTACTGGTTATTATGAACTTGATATGTTGATTAAAAAAAAGTAAAAATAAGGTACGAACTGTGTTGGTTTTATCTCGATGTGGTTTGCCAACGCTTTGCTACGTATTTCGTAGTCTGTTGCTACGTCGTAGCATATTGCTACGAAGATGCTACGATGAATATTTTTGGTTAGGTACCAAAATTATCAAAATATGGGCTATATAGGCTTGATACAAATAACGTTCAATTTATATTGTCTTCATACCTGAGCTGCTTGGTGCACACGTATAGTTCCCTGAGTCGTGGGGAGCGGCGCGTGCTATGAGAAGCCGGCTGGTGCGTGTGCGCTGCTCAGTCTCCACGCTTATACCACCTCGTTGAGCATAGTTCACCACTTGTTCACCTCGATACCAGTAGATGAAGCTAGTACATAAAAATAAGAGTTAATATAGTAGATTACATGAATAATATAATAGTAATAAAATAGCTTGTATTTCATTTAAAATTTTATTTAATATTATTTATATAAAAGATTACGTAATAAGAAAATCATTTAATACTTTGATCACTGAGACACATGAACGTTGAAAATAGATGTTATTACTATTAAAATCTCTAAATGTTATTCAAGTAAATTTTGGTTTACAATGAATTGATCTCAAACATTTTTATAAAATACATTTTATAGATTTATGAATTAACATTTAAAGCAAGCGTTACATTAAAAGCAAGTTTAATTGATATTAAAAACGTCAACAGATTATAAGATTGCAATAAAAAAAAATATAAGCTTTTTATACAAATAAACATATAAACATAGAAATGAATTTCAATTACACAAAAATAAATAAAAGCATACATTTTTGTTATTCTTTATTTTTAAAGACTTTAATTCAATGTTAATGTTATGTCAACTGTGATTTGAAATCTGATAAGTCGTCACGAAGTTCTTATGTTTGTCCGAGCTTTAAAAAAAGGAAATTACGTTTTTTTTATTTAAAAGTGTTTTGTGATTTATTGACGGTCGATGGCACAATTAAAAATAAACATTACATAACATAACAACGCCTTTTTATCCCCGAAGGAGTAGGCCGAGGTGCACACAGAAATAATACCCACTTTTCACTATTTATGTTATGAGTCCCAAGTAATTTTTAATTTTTGTTGTTCTCCTTTAATTAGCAGATTTGGAGGTTCTTAAGAGTGTTAATTAAATAAGGAAAGGATCGAGTCAGTCCCAACACAAGTATTGTATAATAACTTACTGGGACTGACTCAATGTTAGACAGGTAGTGTAATTCTTAAGATAATAAAGAATTTTGAATTTGAATTTGAATAGGGGGTGAGTCTATTACCATATACCGGGCACAATTCCAGACTCCGTGCTACTACTGAGATTTTTTTTTTAAATCCCAGTAATATTTTGCCCAACCCGGGAATCGAACCCGAGACCCCTTGCCCGGCAGTCGCACTTGCTACCACTCGGCCAACGAGGCAGTCACAAAATAAAATGAGGTTAAAAAAGGTCTAGAACCAGATTAAGAATACACACTATGATAATGATAATAAGAATCTAGAAATTGTTTAACTAAATAGAAGACCTTTGCACAGCGTACATTGAAACATCGTTACATAAAACCTGAGCCAGCAAATTTGAGAGACTTAAAATGTTGACGCTCTCTATATTTGCCTACGGGCACGAGCAGATTACTTGATTAAAATTTCATCGTGTCTATTAATGTACAAAGGTTCTAATTTAAGACATTAACAAATTTCATTCACGAAGATAACAAAGCGTTTAAATTGACAAACTTAAATACTTAGTTTTCAAACAAACTTGATAGGTTTGCTTTTAATTATTTTTGTATAGATTGTGTACATGAATCCAACACCTTTGGCCGCCTGACTCGACTATAATTACAGGTATTTACCGTTCCACGCCTATTCATTACGTCCAAGGATGTGTTTCCTACTGAAGCCTGTTATTTGAGTTTAATGAGCGCTATATTTGGGTCACACTGTTTCAACTACTAAGAAATGTATCTGATACATTGGAAATGTGAAACTTCGTCTTACTTACTGGATTATTTATTCGTCCCAAACGTATTTCGGGCCTGACCTCAGCCATTTATCCTGTTTATTTATAAATTCACTTAAAAGAAAGATACGAGCGCTTTAGGAAATTTCAATTTATATTCATTCATTTCCTATTGTGCTACGAACTTCTATTTGCAGGAAAAAATATGCTTTGTGAGCGCCACACTCATAATAATCACGAGTCATGTGATACTCCACAAACAAAAGACCAAACGCTATACGAGAGTAGTGTCACACCGCAGTTACTGCGAAAAATACATTAATTATATGTTGGTGGGCTTGCCTCAATTAACACAGCGAGCCTGTTTGGGAAACTTTGTCATTGAGTGAGCACCTATAAATAATTCACGAAACATCTGAATAAAAAACGATATCTGTCCACACAGAGCGTATCGCCTTTTCAATATTCAAATTGAAGGTCCCTCGATAGATCTCAGACATAGGCCACCATTAAACGTTGATAGCCAAAGAATACCTCACTTAGGGACCTCAGCCGACCCTTTTATCTGAAAATAAGCTTATCATGTTTATGGATGCGAAGACTAAATGTATAGGTACGGTGCGGTGTGAAAGGTGCCTACACGATAACACACTTCCATTATAAGATCGTAAGGTGGGGGGCGGGCTCGCCTATTCACACCACAACGATTTGTGTCGCGTATTTATTCGGAGTTACACAACCGCAAACATCAATAGCGAAAATCGAATTTTTTGTCGCCCGTATTATTTTTAGCCGTATTTGTTTTACATACACACGTAATTAATTTACGCTAACGTTTTTGAGCACGGATCGTGTTTTGTGTTCTCGTATAAAATATGTGGAGAGTCTGGCTGTCGTTTTACTTTATTAAAATTTTGTTTTGTATTTATTTTATGCCGAAAGTAAGTTGTGTCATTCATTTCATTCGCAATAAAGGTCTTTGTTTGCTAGTAAACTAGTAGTAAAATGTGTTGCAACCTCTACAATGTAACGTCGGCACGTTGCCCAAAAATGATACTTTTGTAGGTCGCAGAGTGCGGGCAAATTTGATCTAACTGAACAAGATGGTCTCATTACACATTTGTCACGTACGCTGACACAAAAGTCCCGCTCGAGAGTTATTTCTTACTTCCTCGTTTTTTATGTTGGCAACCCACACTTTCATGTTACTGCCCAAGCCGAGTGGGTATATAGCACCTTTTCCATTTCCTTCATAGGCCATATAAAAGTCAAAATGCTTTTGCTTTCGTATTTTTATATCGGACAACTTGTTTAAGAAAGTTGGTGCAAAAAGGCAGAATTTATTTCAATAGACTTTAATGAAACCACAAAAAATGCTGGAATAGCCTGAATAAACATTGCTTTTTCAGCTTCGTACACAAAATGAAGGTGCTTGGTAAAAATAAATTACGAAGCTAATAATGTCTAGAAAGTGTATTATAAAATAAAGCAGAAATTTTGCAGCGATTAATCTAGTTTTTTAATGTCTAAAGCTAGCAGGATGTCTAGATTTTTCACATTAGTTACCTCGGCGGGTCAGGGGCGTACTTTGCCACGCAAGTAAGATTGATGTCTGATCCAGCTCTGACGAACAGCTCCGGTCCTGAGAGAATCTCCGCCTTTGACACTGTTGGAAAACGCATACTATTAAGAAAACGATAACCGTACCATAAAATCTACCTACTACATCTTTTCCATTTAGAAAACATGTTTTATTTATTTCATACATTTTTCCAACCCCACTGATTGAATGAATTCGAATTTAGGTCGAAATCCTTATACTCGTTTTTTACAACAGCACTACATCAGCGGAGCGTAGATCAATATAACTTTAATTAGAATAGATTTCACTCCAGGTTCAGAAAATTCTAGAGCAGAAAAAACAAATCTGGATTTCGAGATAGTTCCACTATAGAAAAACTCATGAATATGTTAGTGTATCCCTACTTACATATTTATTTACATTTAGTCATCATCATTTATTTAGCTACGGACGCTAAACCTTTGCGACCTTAGGGTCTTATCACACTAGCGATTTAAGGGCGGAGCGAGAGGAAAGCAACGATTTTTCTCGAGTTGCGTAATAGAGGTGTATGTTTCAGCTGGGTCTCGTCAGCTAGAAGACTTTGCAGAGTCTATGAGACTACATATATTAGGTAAACCTGCGATCTTTTGGCAGTATCTCATACTCTGGCTGAGTCAAATAAAAAAACATTTTCTACTAACACTCAAATCGCCAGAATGTTATAAACGTATTTAGCAGTGGTCAGGCTAATTGGTAGCAAAATAATTCTGATATTTTAATGCGTTGATATGTTAAAAAATTACCTACAGAGTATTTATAAATAACCAGTGACCGCATTCAACAATCCGACATTCATTTTAAGCTAAATCCAAAATAAAGTTCTGACAACGTTGTTATGCGCAATTTTCACCGTCATTTCAATTCATAACGCCGAAATTTCATAATACTTGTAAATGAATAAATGATGCCAGTAATTTATGAATTACATTGGATTTTAATAATTATACACTCTCGCCAATGTTTTCAGTTTTCAATAAAACTGTTAATTTGTGGCATTTACTAATTAGTATCGACATGCAGTTCCTAATGAAATAGTCATGTGCTTTTTGATATCAGTGATGAACTTGTGGATAAATCATGACGATTCCCTAAAGGGTTCAAACAGAGGTGCATTTGTTAATGTATGTGGGATTAAAGTAAATACTCCCAAACTTTGTTAGTCACCAATCAGCAGACATAATTCTTTCAGATGCAGTTTGCTGCCAAATTGAAAATCTATGAACTCAACCAAGGAAGATAATATTCGATTTCGGTATAGATATTTGTCCATAGATTTATTCTATACAATGGTATTATAACATAATGGGCCAAAATTTTATGTTTTTTTATAATACATATTTAGAAATACTTATATGAAAGAGCACTTGGTTGGCGCGATAACCATTAAAATAATGTTTTGGACAGAATCTTGGCATCGAGACTGAATCGATTTACCGGGTTAGCGATCAAGTAAACCGCTTAATCAGCAGATATAGCTGCTTGAATAAGTAGAAATTGCTCAGAACTCATATCGTTTTACGTTTTAAGTCTATCTATGTAGTTTTCTTTGACTGTCCAAATTTTGACTTGGACTTGGTGCTCATTGATTTAAGGTCGATTTTTGTGTAAAGTATCAAAGACACTATATTTTTTATTTCTGTAATAAAAATAAAATTAGTTCTTATTACTTACCAACAACGGTGAGTCGAAATGACAGACTAATCTTTGGTTCAGTAGACACTTGGCACTCGTATGCGCCGGAGTCGCGTGGTTGCGCTGGCGCCACTCGCAGCGTCCATTCATCGGAACCATCAGCATGTAGGGCAGCGAATCTTGCGTCACTGCTGTATGTGTGCACACCTACTGTCAAGATGTGTAGGTCTCTCTTGCGTATCCATGATACCTAGAGAAAATTATGTAATTATTATAAAAGTAGTTATGTATGAAATTTTGCATAGCAACGCTGATACTGGGGTTTTTATATCGATATATTTGGCGTGTACCACGTGTAGGAATATTTTTACCCTCTGTATGAATGTATTATGATATCTGCAAAAGTGGGAATCTTTGTGTAAAGAACACCTACAAGTTGGCACCCATCTTTAATATCATATCGTAGTGGGATGTGTAAAGCTAACTTTGTTATGTAGGTAATACCCATACGTCTTAATTAAGTTCACTTCATCTGTGGAATTTCAAAAGAAGTGTACAATATTTTTTATTTCTTAAAAGTGAGTAGGTAGACCAAGATAAAACGCAAACCTATTGAGTCCTATTAACCAGCATAATTTCCTATATGTTAATCTACCTCTGTAAAGAGAGAGCTGCTTTGCAATTTGACTGTATTTCATAAATATATTTACCAACATTTAATGTTTCAAACGATGATAGAAAACATATTGAAGAAACCTGGGTTTATAATTTCAAATTATAAGTTTGAAATCGCCAACCCTCATTGAGCAAGCGTGGCAATACTCAAACCATATCCTTCCGGGAAGAGGCGTTTGGTCCACTGATAGGCTGATAATGTATGAAAATCATCATCAGATAACGTTTAATGTTACATTTGGCCACCGACTTACGTGGTAGTAAGCAATCATATGGAACGATGCACGTCTGCGTATTAGCAACCTACAACTATTCTATATATATGTAGTTCAAGTAAATAGTGGTTATAAAACTCACGACTGTATTTTGAGTGCCTAACAGACATCATTGCACTCCAGAAACTGCTGAAATACATAATGTAGATTTTTGAAGAGCGCAGCGATCCATTAAAGTATAGTTTACTGGGATATAAAATGGGATTTAATGTGCTAAGTCATAAGTAAAAGCTTTAGTATTGTGCTATATTTATTGAGATAAGAGTTAGAAGGTGGAAGCCAAATATTAGAAAACAGCCACATCCCTTAATGTAGTAATTGTCCTTGACCATGAAATTATAAAGAACTTCAAGTAAAGTACAAATTCAGTCTTCATTTTAATCAAAATCCTAATCGAATTTGCTATAAGCGCTTATTCATTCAATAATGGTAAAACTAAATATTAACTTTACTTAGAAATTAGTTGCGCTGTACATAAAATTGTCTACATAAGCCAGGCTCGGCTTACTTTCCTCTATTTTCAATTCATAACTAAAGTAACCAAACTATAAAGTACATTTGTATACAGTTAAATTTTAATAACTTGTTCAATCCTAAAAATATAGCAATGAATTATTCTAACTTTATATTATATATTAGGATCTTTACTTGTATATTTCCTCTTCTTTCGTGGATGAAAGTCATATTACACTGCATCAGCACCGCTCTAACCCAGCTCCAACGCAGCAATTACTTGTCATTTAAATTTGAACATCTTATGTCAAATGACGGATGTCGTTTTGGCCCGGAGGCTTAAGACACCCGCTTCTCATGCATGAGGGTGCTGGTTCGAAACATACCAACGGCAAGTACTAATGCGACTTTTTCCGAGTTATGTGTACTTTCTAAGTTTATCTAGACACCTATGACAAACGGTGAAGGAAAACATCATGAGGAAACCTGGGCTTATAATTTCTAATTATAGGTTTGTAATCGCCTACCCGCATTGAGCAAGCGTGGTGATTAATGGTCAAACTTTCTCCGTGTAAGAAAAGGCTTTGCTCAGCAGTGGGCACTTATATGCTGTTGATGATGTCAAATGACGTATTATTTCATAACGATAATAAAAAAAAAACTGTGAGCGCGCGGCCGGAGTATGGGCGGCGCGCGCTTACAACCTTTTCGTATTATTTCCAAAGCAAAAACCTCCGTGCCGGAGACAGCTCCGCAAGCACTCATAAGCAGGCTGAAGCCGTGCTTGTTAAGTGTCGTGGTCAAAGATGTGATACGTAGTACACCACTTTTAATCAACTATGTAATAGGGTAGATGCCTAATTTTAATTTTAATGTCAGTCTGGTAGATTATTTTAAATCATTAGACACGTATTTTTATTTTCTTACAGAAACTAATACTTTCGACGATATATTGATTTGAAATGTCGCGTGACGTCACTTCTATGTATGTACATTTTATACGTAGAAATGACGTTTTAGCCCCCACTACTAAACTTTGATTCGTTTTATCTAAGTGTTGTTTTATACCACAAAATAAAAAATACGTGTCTAATATTTGTTGATTACCTAACTTACGGACTATTTAGATTTTTAATCTTCATAAGCTGTCATCGTCTCAATTATGTCCTTTTGTAATAAAGTGCCACTTTATTGTTACATACCCAGTACTATTCTGGAGTGCATGTTGTTATTGAGAAGCAACAAAGAAAAACATTTTAATCTCACAGCTTGATCTAACCAGATATTAAACACTTAGGACGACCTAAGTGTCGGATTTGAGTTATCCCTGTTATTAGTCATTGTAATTACAACCACTTACTTATAAAATTACACGAATCTCTATAGTTCAACAACCTAAGTTATTGGCCCATAATTTGATCCTCCATTTAGAAATACACACTTCTCTACCCACGTATGTGGTAGGTCTCAAGTTAATCACAATGAATACTTAATTACGATCGCAGTCTCTTCGCCACTTCTATTAATAATCACAAAGGTAGGTAGTAAAAGTATCCCTTGATTAATTTCACGCCTCCATATTGGATACGCGAAATTAAATTAGAAACGGTAAGCTTTGACTGCTACATCGATTGATTGGTTACAGGTGCCTTGTAAGGGATCTTGGGTTTGATTTGTGAGTCGTGCAGTGTATTATTGGGAATTTTCAGTGTATTATCACTCAGTAGATAATGCCATAGTTTGCAATAACCACACCCCTTATCACATGGGACTCATAATATCTGTGGTGTTAAGGTAAAAGGGGATGAGTCAGTTATTTTAGTAATTAAGAAATAAAAATATTTTTCGAGTACATATAAAATACGACTAAATTAATAAATAAAAATTAAAACAGGGTTCTATATACTTTTGATTAAACTGCATTTATATTACAAAACAAACACGCATTTTTTTATTAGCCCCTGGTGAAAAGTTGTGTCTTTATAGACTCATCCCCTTTACCTTGACAGCACAGATATAACCGTTGTAAAGGTGTTGTATTGCATATACATATGTATAAATGTCAAGTAGATTAAGTATTTATAATTTTTAAGTGTGGGAGAGCCATGCTTCGGCACGAATGGGCCGGCTCAACCGGAGTGATACTACGGCCTCACAGAAAACCGACGTGAAGCAACGCTTGCGTTGTGTTTTGTCGTGTGAGTGAGGTTACCGGAGGCTCAATTACCCTCCTCTTCCCAATTTTCCCCAATTCCTGAATCCTCAACGATCCTTAAACTATTATCCCCAAAAGGCCGGTAATGCAGTTGTAACGCCTCTGGTGTTCCAGGTATCCATGGGCGACGCCGATTGCTTACCATCAGGTGATCCGTCTGCTCGTTTACCGGCTTATGCCATAAAAAAACAAGGTAGGTATATGCGTATTTCCAGTACCTCCAAGGACGAATTAGATTGTATCGAGTTGTGGAAAGTTTTTTTGGTTTCTGTGATCTTTGTTGGGCTGAGGTAAAGTTCATAGTCGCTTTGGTCGACAGACGAAGCAAGTATTGTTTGAATTTGAATACTGACTTAGTTCTTGGTTAAACTTGTAATTAGTTGGTTGGCTTAATCAGCGCTATAACGAATATTTCGAAATAAAACTTTAGTTCCTAATGGCTGGGTTCGTATTATAATTTCAATCGATTTTAAAAGATTTAGAACAAAAATAAATCCACAGAAATGAAAAATCACTGACTTTCATAAAAAACCTGCTTACGACGAAGCCCGAAACTGCAATACATTTCTCTAGACGTCCAGATGTAGAAATTTAAATCTTAAATCTAGTTCTGATGAATACACAATCAGCTTGCGACTGTCACGCGTGTGTTGGGTATCTGTTTTCTCAGTCGCTACATTCCGCGCGCCGTTCACGAGCTACTCATGAACTGATCGTGAATGGCACAAAATCTGGACGTACCTTTAGATGTCTACATGTACTAATGAATGTATAAAATAGTCATGGGAGTGGCAGCGTCGACAGAGGTGCTATAGTACGCAAGCGTCCGTGTCACCCGTAAAATATGTATTAATTGATGTGACGATCTTGTTCCCCGAGGACATACACGGCACTGGTACTCGATGGAGTAATAATGAACTTTACGATTGTTTCACAATGTTTATTATGGTTACTTACTTTGTGTGTTTTTGTACGCAAAAGGAGTATTTTTGAGTTTCTCGGTAAAATTAACTATATTGGTTTTAAAAGAGATTGTAAAAGTGGAATACAAATTGGATTAAAAACAAGTTACATTGTTATCATTGTCACTAATAATAGAGTAGCAAATCACATAAACATTGTTTGGTACTACATACATCCGATATTAGTACCTACTTCTCCGTACTACCTCTAGAATCTCCACAAAGAGTTCAGCTATAAAAAGCCCACATTCAATTTACAAAGTAGCAAAGGCCACATTAATTCAAATAAATGTAAAACTTACAAGTACTCAAATAAAATTTAGCCATTCCAATTTCATTCAAAGAAGATAAAAAGTTTGTTACGAATGTGAAATTGCTGGAAGTAAACTTCTCCCGCAATAATTTTTGGCGAACCGAGTGGACTTAATTCTCATTATGCTCCTTCGAATTTTGGCTCTATAAAATACGTATCCTAAGACCTGGATCACCATAAATTTTCGATAGGAACGTATCTAAGAGTAATTTTGATAAATTATTTAAGTACAAATAAAACGGTATTTTAATTTATTACTTGGACTTTAGTCTTTAGAGATTAAGTTATGCTTCTATGGATGAGTGATCATTTCTCTAGGGAACTAATTTATTAAGTATTAACCATCATATCATACAA